CACATCCACAATTTGTATACTCGGCACTTAACTTCACAAATTACCTTAACCCGGAGTAACAGATAACTCAGAAAGGCTTGATAACTCATGATATTACGCAGACATGAGAATATATCAGGTATTCCAATCGACAAAGTAGTTGTCAGGTTTAAGGTTTTACCAGAATATGAAGGTTCCTTATTAAACGAGGGTGGTAGCCAGGTCCCACAATCCACATAGGCATGTTGGACCAGTTCTCACATGTTTCAGTGTAGGCAGTCGGAGATCCTGGATACCGCGCTCTAGGTCACATCTTGAGCCTGTAAGGGTAAAGTACTCAACCGCATGCGAGTCGCGAGGGAGGAACGGTAACGGGCCTTGGTCAAAGAGAAAAATGTAGGTATTTGTCGAAATGACATTAAATCATACAGAAACCTCTTTGTCGGTGAATCTAGGAGTAACCCCAAGATTCAGAAGGAATCCAGGCTGGTTGAAAGGTGACTTAAGGAGATTCGTCAAACCGGGACGAAAAGAAAGCACGAATGTGACAGGTAGTCTTTTTCCATGTGTGATGCGTTGTGGGACGGAAAGATGACCGATATGTGCGCGTGATTGAGGACTTGGTTGAAAGTTGTCAGGTGCAATAAAAGTTGTGCTTACTTGCCGCTTCGTTCTTGCTGCAGTAGTACTCCCGTTCAACTCTTTCAAAACATTAGCACCTATGAAACTTGCAAAGTGCATCTCATCTTTGGCACAGGAGGAAGAAAATGTAGCTGTGTCCATTATGCACAGGACGACACCATCTTAGGGATATCCGAACCCCCTTCGAATGACACGCATCCCTTTCAGAACTTCTAGTTCAGCTACATGAGTGTGATTACTCGCTGCTGCACAATAGCGTGTATGTTCACTTGTTTGATCATTTGGATTCCTTATAATACAATGCAATGCACCGAAATTGGAAGGTTTTGACCCCTACTTGACCTAAAAGCAGGCTTACTCATGACCACCCATTTCTAGTTATAATGTACCAGTATTTAGTGTTCATTGTATGACGCCTTTGAATTCATAGAGAGTTGTGCTACTTTTTAGCCAACGTGGCCATGTATTCCATGATTGACATACCCTTTGATATCATGTATCAACAAAACGTACTTGGCTTATTTTCCTAATAGGTTCCATTATCTGCCATTGGAAGTACCTGCTTTCTCAGTGAAAAGCTCTGCCATAAATGTCGGCCACCGACACGCATAACTTGGCACTTGGGTGATATAAGGCATGCGGCGTACACTTTTTCACATGTGTCGTGTTGGAGAGTCAACAGATTGATTCAGGTTAGGTAATCCCGTTTGACCAACGCTACCTGCACTGTGGTCTGTGCGATAAGTCCAACCGGTTGATAAGGTGTTGAAAGTTTGCTGAAAAATCTGGTCGTAGGTCAAACGAATTCACAAGATGTATGATGAGGCAATAGAATTGATCGATTCAAAGATACGGCAGTGAACAAAATGCAGACGTTTGCCACCGGGTTAAATACGCACTCATGTTCGTTCATGGGTCACGCTTTCGACCTGGGTGATCAGGACCTTCGCATCATTTGTTGGAGTAAGACAGGTAAGTTTATAACTCCAATACTAATCACAACATCATAAATTTGCTAGCACAGGACCAGTATCAGCCGAGCGCTGGTCATGCAGATTATCTAGAAGGAATTGAGCGGATGGTAGATGGAATCAGCTACTCCTTTCCTACTTACATATTCATGGATAGTTGACAACGAGGATGGATATAATCATTTGGCAGTGTCTTACTTCACACATTACCTCAACACGTAAACATCTACATACTGGGAACAGTTGATCCCGGCGCAACTGGGTATTCATCGTGACAGTCCCTGGTGCCTAATAGTGTGGATTGACAAGGTGGCTGAATGGATTCCAAAACACCCACCAGCGCAAATTGTTACCATAGTTAATGCACGTGTTTCAGTTGATTGGTTGGTTAGCACCAACAGTACAACAGCATTGACTCCTATGAAGGGTAGGTCGTAAAATATATAGGGTGGCTCGAGTTCCTTTACACTCTCTTAACTTGTTTAATGAAAGTTGTGTTTCATACACAGTAGAATGTTCTGCACTCCTTCCAAGTACTAAATCTGCTACAGCTCTCGTTATTTGATTGAATTGTGAAAGCCGTGCAGAGAGGAGTCTACTTGTAATAGTAAAATTCATTAGCCGCAAATAAGTGCATGACGGGGCCTACAGATGGGTAGTTGCCGTCTCTACTGAAAGATCGCATTTATATTGACTGCTGCGGATACATCAGTTTTGTAAAAGGATTATGAATTTTGCTAAACTATTTATAAGGTCAAAGAAGCGTAGTACTCATTTGATATTTCGAAAAGCGTCGATATACTGCGCACAATCTGCAATTTGCCTATTTCGACCATAGACAAACACTGCACATTCAACCGTATAAAAATCCCGATGATGCCAGCACTCCGCGGTCGTTGTTCGAGGATACGGAATAGTGTGTTCGAGTGACACCCGTGTATTCTTTTCCATTTTGTTTTCTGTTTGACAATTTACACCGTTGAGGATGCCATGATATTTTTTATCTGCAAGTGATGTAAACAAATGAAAATGCACGCACACATCTAGCACATAAATCCTATCTTGAATTTGTTTGACATGTATAACAGTATTTCGACCATTCGGTCAACAATGCGAATTCTCAGCCACATTCATCGTTGCACCGATGAGCACCGAAACACTAAAGTTTACTGATGGGGGATTAGGTTGGGTGTGACATTTCCTTTGTCAACCTAGATGCCATCAGAAATTTAAAGCATGACAGTTTCCTTCTCCGATTCAGGTAAGTTGGGGATATATTCGTAGCCAATGTTTATGTAGAACCTGAGGTAAGTTACGGCTGGAAGGAAAGTCACTTCTCAGCTATTTTGTTACGCACCTCAACTGTTGATTGATCAGGTCAATAGGACATCTAGATTTAAAAACGTTTATGCACCTCACTTTGCCTTACCACCCAGCTGTATGCATACGCCTTTAGAACATTCGGATAACGAAACTTAAACTTTGAAGACTCATATAGTTATACTGATGTTATAACCATGGCGCTCTCCCTCCTTTCTCATATGAATACAATTGCCTCAAGTATAGGGTTCCTGCGACTTATAAGTAACTTGTCTTGTGCTATTCTACTCTGTTATGCACGATCGCCTAGTACTTCATTGGTTTTGGTCAAGGGCTCCAATTATTTCGCCCCCTATCACGTGCCTGTCGTCCGTATAATAACCCGAACTACACCAGAACCAAAATGTTGAAAATGCCCGTAAACTATTAGGAAACGACAGTGAACCCCTAAAGGAAGACTTTTACAAAAATATCCTTATCGTACCGCGGTATAAACCTCAACCATCGACAGATATGCATGAGTGATCTTATTGCGCATGTAAATAGGATTCGTCTCTATGTAGCTACGGTTTCTCGGTGCCCCGAAAAATATGCCTCATAATTATTAATATGAACATTTGTGGACTTGAGTAATCAGAGCAAATGGAAACAGTGTCCACCGAACCTTGTTGCTAGCACCTAAATTCAAAATAGTTTCTACCACCTGTCCCCACTGAGACGACAACTAGAGATAAGGTAAAGGTTACCGTTTGTGATACACTTATATATATATAAGCCACCACAAAAACAATGCCACTTGCAACTAATATCTAATGAAAAAAGCAAAAAGATTCTCATGATTCATCCGGCGTAAATAGAACAACTCAGCAAAGCATTTAATTACTTCGGTCATCATGAAATAAGCCCATTCCACAGTACATTTGGCAGTGTAAATTGTGTTCGTTAGTCGACTCCAATACAAGTACTTTGTATCTGTCACCAGAATCACAATCGTTAGCACGGTTTGTTTTAATGCAGTAACATCCTGAGTTGGAAAGCATTTCCATCGCGTAATCAACGAAATTTGGAATTCGCTTGGTTACGTGGATTAAAGAAACTTGCACGTTACCTATTAATCAACAACCTTCGAAACAACGGAATATCATACGGTACGCGAAATGAGAGAAAAATGGGTTACCGGTGTCAACCGCATGCATTCAAGACTATTCTGTTTTGCGTCCTGCATCATGGAAGATATGCACTTGAAATCTGACTGATTTTGCTCTTTTACTGAGGAATAGGAAAATACTCAATTCCATCTGTGGTTGTGGGGTCTCAGTGCACTAGAGCAACACAAACAGATGGTATGGACCGAACAGCATTCCATAAAACGATGTGCAAACTTTACGCGAGAGAAGCCTTATAAAACTGTGAACGTGCTTCTAATATGTATCTTTTATTCTCATAACTGGGAACGGATTTTCGTCCACTGAAATAGTGAACAATTATTTAGCAAAAACCGCAGCGTAACTTCTGGAAAAAAAACAATTTCGACACCTTCCACAATCGAGGAGTAGCCGACACAATAACATCGTTATGATAAGTTAAGCAAATGCCCAGTAAGTAAGTATAGCTTTCTTTAATACTCAAAATGCCTGGTACATATACGTTCTCGTGCTGCTCATGATGAAACAATGTTTTCTGGGTCTACTAATGGAAAAAAATAAGATGGTTCAGTTTCTATCTTCAAATATAGTGGGGGCGGACTGAATGTAACTCAAAAGTGATCTTAGGAACACGGGGAATGTACAAAATGCTTGTAACGTTTCTCGCCACATAAAGTGCCAAATGAACACCGTAGGACTTAAGAGCGGAAAAACAGCCGAACAATTCGGTTGCAGCTGTGATAAACCGGGTTGTGAGCGACAATGAAAATGTAGGTGGCTCAAATTGCCCTCTGCACAGGTATGGTGGAGAATGGAGTATAAGGGCTCCGAAATTTCGATGGATGCGAAAAGCATCATGTGCACTATAGTAGGACCTAGTGTGAAATCTGCAACTGAGAAGTACCAAGTTGCGGAATGACGGATTGGCACCATTGCTTTCCCATCATAGCTTTGATGCAAAAATATTCTCGTTCTCAGACGGCGCAATCTGTGAAGTCCTTGCATTGAGAGTAGAATTTGAATCCAATCCTCCTTTCGCATGTGTGGGCGTGGGTGGCTCAGTTCCCGTGTCCCCAGCGGATGCTGCGGAAGTAGCCAGACGACGAAATGCCACCGCGCTTAATGAATCCTCGCTTAAGACAATCGAGTCTCCTGTGGACGATTTTGGACCTGTCGACGTTTGATGCAGCCAACCAGGTGTGAAGGTCTTCGGATTTGTTTTGATTTCTGAAGACACTGTGTAGGACAAAAATAACACAGCGAGTTGGAGTGGAACGAATTTGTAGATGACGGTAATGAGTCTGCCAAACTGCTGCCTGTGTGAGTTGATCCAATTGAATCCTGACTACATCTACAGAACCGTAATGGAACTAGAAGCTGACCTCGGTATAGTTGCGTAGTATATCGTGCATGTAATTACTCGTATTTCCGCTGAGGTAGCTAAGATGCATTGTTTATCTAGTTCTTAATAGAAAATATTTCGTATCGTGCTTAAATAATATTTCCCCAATAACGTGTTATCAAGGATGTCCGGTTCAGTTGAAATATTACCCAACTACCCAATAAGGCAATAAGGTCACTTAAAAGAATATGATCAATTCTCGATCAAATCATGGTTTCCAAAATAACGAAATTATTGTAGCTGGAAGAAAGAGACATAATACGGACGATAAACCGGTGGACATTATACAATACGGGCAAATAGGGAAAAAGTACAGAACTTTGAGTGAGTTTAGATCGTGAAATAAACTAGGGGAATCAACACCAAATTTGAGCAGTGGTTCGAAATGTACTCCGTAGTGTGTGGCAATAAGTTGACAGTTAACAATTAACTCGACATGAGCGACAATGAAAACTGAAACAATATAACACTTAACTAAAGCAGATGGAAATCAGTTGCGCCCCCCCCGAAAATCTTGCATTCCACCGCGCATTTCACCGTTATTCGATCTCATAATGTGGAGATAGAAAGCCACGAACCCGGGACCACTGGGAGTTTTATTAGGACATCTACCTCTTTATCTACCAGGTCACGACGGCGTCAAGCGTTGCGCGTCGTGCCCCAGTGGCTGGACAGGTAGAGTTCCAAGCTGACATCACAATGGTATTTGGTTTCTGGTCTTGTGAGGTTAAATAAGGTCGAAACACGTAGTAAAGAGCAGCGTTTCCAAGAGGGCAACACCTAATAGCTACCAGTTTCATCAGTTCCGTTCCCACTAATCGGAATAATCATGGAACAATGGAACAATGGTTTATTACGGGTAAAAAAGCGTTGCTTAACAAGTCCCGTAGGATGGAAATTAGTGTGAAAACCAATTGCATGATAAAGTGAACAGCGTTGTGGTGGACTCACCATAGACTTATGTAGAATAGCGGATATGTTCGCGTATTAAACATATAAATCCGTAAATCCATTGGTTAGGCCTTTGGCAAGACACCGTTTGATTGCGTTTCGTAGCCCCTGGCTAACAAGTCACAAAGTGAAATGTAAGTGAGACAATGCATCGTCAACACGTTTTTTAAATATCTCCAGATTGGGAGCAGAGACGACATAATTAGGGAGGGCGTTCCACGGCTGGCACACGCGGAGAGAAAAGAAATTTCTACGGCATTCAAGCCGGCTATACTGAATTGTCAGTTTCAGAGGGTGACCTCTTAGTTTAGTGTTGTGGTTCAATTCCAGCAGCGGACGACAAATGTGGTTTGGGTTCTTCAGAATCTGACAAACCATTATGAGATCCCCCCGCAAAAGCCGATATCGACTGCTGTAGATTCTTAGAGATTTCAATCTAAGCTGATAGGGCAGATGAAAGAGGCCCCTGACATTCTTGGTTGCCCTTCGTTGAGGAGTCTCGAGAGCAACGAGATCCTGTTTCTGCCACGGCTGCCACACCTGAATAGCATATTCCACGTGAGGTCGCACGTAGGCGTTAAGCATTTGGGGAAAGATTGAGGGTTCAAACCGACCGAAGGCTCTGCGAAGAAGGCCGAGGTGTTGATTTCCGGTTTTCGTCGCCTTCTCTGCTTGTTTTGAACACCCGAGATCTTCCTGCACCAATACACCAAGGTCACGCTCCTGAGAAACCTTCTCCAAGGTGTGGTCTCCAATCTTGTAAGCGCTCACCAGCTGGTGACGCAGATGCATCACTTTGCACTTAGCTATGTTCAATTGAAGCTTATTCCTATTTGACCATTCATAAATGCAATCTAGGTCATGTTGGAGCAGATCCTGATCTGGCTTGTTACCAATCGCCCGCCATATCTTGACATCATCGGCGAAAAGCAGGAAATTTGAGGAGATGACCCTTGCCAGGTCGTTGATAAACACCAGGAATAAACGCGGTCCCAACACTGAGCCTTGTGGGACACCACATTGCACCTCAATTGGGTTAGAAAGTGATCCCCTAACACGTACTTGAAGCTTTCGTTGGTAAAGGAAGTTGCCAATCCAACCAAGTACAGGATCTCCGATTCCGTAACTTTGTAGTCTTTGAAGTAGGATGCGGTGATCAAGGCGGTCGAAAGCTTTGGAGAAGTCCAGATAGATGACATCGACTCCGACCCCATCATCGGCCACTTCCGTCCAACTACCTCGTGCAATAAGTAGGTTGGTGGTGCATGACCGGTGTTGACGGAAGCCATGCTGTTCCGGTACCAAAATGTTGCATTTTTCCAGGTAGTCCATTAAAGTCTCAGCGACGACTGCTTCCATCACCTTCGCGAGCACAGGGAGGAGAGTCACTGGACGATAGTTTGCAGGATCGGAACGGCTACCGCCTTTAAAAATAGGGGTTATAATGCCACACTTCCACATAGTGGGGACTTGCTGTTCATCAAAGCACCTTTGGAAGAACTGTGACAGTGGTTCAGCTAGCTTGGTGGCCGTAGCCTTCAGTGCCTTCGGGCGGATGTTGTCTGCTCCTGGAGAACTATGCTCACGCAGTGAGAGTAACTTCCTCAGCACACTTGATGGGTTGAAAATTACATTTGTAAACAAAGGTGTCGGTAATGTGCTTGATATTATGGGACAGGTAGAAGTTGCGAGTTCGAAGATTGGGGCGTATTGCAGACGCAGGGCATTAGCTGCTTCTTCTGCACTTTGTACTCTACCGCCTGTCGTGAAAAGTGGGGGGATTCCATGCTTCACTTTACGAAGCTTATTGACATGCCTATATAGCAGTTTGTTGTTTGCCATGAATTTTTTGGCTAGGCTCTGTTGATAAGTTAGTTTGTCCTCACGGACAAGTGCAGTGCAATGGTTGCGATGGGTCAAGAAATTTCCCCATGTCTCTGAGTCGGGGTTAATCTTGTAGGCACGCCATGCTGCATCCCTTATGGCCAGGCATTTGCGAGTCCTACTCCTTATAACTGAAGGCATTTTCGCGGGCCGAAGGGGTTTGGTCTCCGATGATCTGTTGACGATGTCGCTGAGTTTATTAACGAACTCTGCCCAAACCTTGTCAAGGGGACTTTTGTTTGAGAATTCCCAGGCAGCTGCGTCGGCGAGTTCTTTCAATACGTGGTAGCGTGTGATTGTATGAGTTAGTTCCGAGTGTTCAGATGGATACTCTGCGTAACACACATATTCAAAAGATATTACTACATGGTCACTGAGACCTAATGGACTATCCATCAATAACTTGTCAACCATGAGCTCTTCATTCGTGAGCACAAGGTCTAGTATGGACGGTTTGTTTGCTGTCCTGAATCTAGTGGGTGTGGTGACATGATTGTACAAAGGAATAGTAGCGATCAGTTCATGCAAGTCTGCTTTGAACTGCTCACTGGGCGATGCCGAAACCTCCAGATTGTGTAGATTGAAGTCCCCGGAGATGAGAATGTGACTGTACCTAGTGCGTGTTACTCTGTTTAGGCCATGGATCAAGCAAGAATCCATTTCCGAAGTGGACGTTGGGGGGCAGTAAACGACAGCTACTAAACACGTGTCGTTGTGTCTCAATCGGAGACGGCACCAGAGTGAGTCAGTAACGTGTGTTTCCAGATCATCAACGGTTGTACATTGTAGATCGCTGCGGTAGTAGAGTAGGACCCCACCTCCTCTGCTGGGGCGGTCGTTCCGGATGAGGGACATTCCGGCTATCTCAACCTCAGCATCAGTCACCTCTTGGTGTAACCAAGTTTCGGTAATAGAAATTAGGTCCCAAGCATTCGCAACCTGACGCAGTCGAAGTTCGTTAATTTTACTGAGGAGTCCTTGGGCGTTAGTGTACATACATGAAAGTTTCTCAGATTTAAGCAATGTTTCGGAGGTTCTGCAACTCATATGTGAAGTTTCGCCGACCAGTGAGTGGCCGGCGACTAATCGTTTTTTGATGTGTGCTTGGTGAAGGGTTTAACATTTTATTCATCGTCCGTATAGTTAGTCCCGTATCTGATCTGCGACGTACAGTGTAAGGTGTCTGGTCAATGTCATCTTCTACAGGTTGTATGGGCTCATTCGGCACAATACTGGTGCACTGTTCTCTCATAGATCCCATCGCGTTTGGTTCTTTGAGTGACATATCTTCTCTAGGAGGCATATCGCTGATTGTCTTCAGCCGAACCTCAGATGGTAGCTTGCAACGGAACATGTACCAGCTTTTTAACATCCGTGCTACCATATGTTTGGACTGAAGGACCACCTTCCAAATGAGTCACGGTCCAAGTTGAGATTTCGGGTCTCACTCCAACCACACAACGAATAAGTCAAAATGACCTCCAATATAAAACTTACTTTCACCGTCTTCGAGTGGATGTCCGTCCACATTATCATGATTCAAACGCTTTGCGCAATCATCATTCATATGTTCCCCAACGATTCGAGCCCGACAGCTCCATCGCCTTCCATGCAAAGTATTCCCTATCTTCGCTGGATTGTAGTTGCCGTTGCCACTATCCCCAGTTGCCGTTCCGTTTTTTTGACGAAATGAGAAGGTTTGAGTTGAAGACGAGGAAGGTTGGATGAAATGATCTCGTAGGAACACGCGAAAACGATGACGGTTTTCCTTTGAAGAAAACGAAAGGAGGCAAATGATTTGCAAGGAAGGCGTAAAATTACAAGAGCATAGTTGATAAGGGGGATGTAGATGGAGTTTAAAAATTATGCAATAGCTTTCAGTTGAATTTAGCTCTAGGTACGTTTTTAAGTCTCAAAACCGTTCTGTGGCCTTGCGGAAACAAAAATTTGGTGCTATTCTTCAGCCACAAAGTTTGAATGCGTGTGCCATGAAATGTTACTCCGGTGACATTTGAAAACTGACTCCGATGCATACTTGAAATCGCCCCCGCTAATGTATCCATTATTCCAAAAGTAACGGAAATTATGTTTCTGCCTTTATGGCCAATTTTTGACTAATGATTGCGCACAAGGATCGGTTGCGTAACCAGGACATCTACGGTACAGAAAGTGCAATCTATGTCTCTAAGGACGCGCTGCATCTATTTGCCCAAATCTTATTGATATAGCGTTTAGTGGAAATCCCACTCAATACCTGTCAATTCTTGCCTACAGGATGGACAGTTTCTACTTTTCATTCCATTAAGTTCGTAAATACCAGATGACATTGGCGGACATAGTTTGTGTATACTCAAACGGACAGTGCTCACCTCATCGATCACGGCAACCAGTAGGAACATGAGTACCGATGTGAGAGCCATCGCCACAGGAACAATGATAAACATTGATATACCATCCAAAAACTGGATGTATATAGCGATATATGGAATACCCAGTGTTAGCATGAGTTGTGTCAGCACCAAGAGATGTCTGAAAGGAAGCAGCAAGCTGTCTAATAAGAATGGGTTTACTGTGACGGTTGAATTTACGGAATACCTGGAAAAGCAATATACACTATGCTCCAAAAACTTTCAATGAACAGGCGAGAGATATATAATAGAGGAAATTCAAAAGCAGCTTTAATTATGGTACATTGTGCGTACATTCACGCAAGTGCTGTATGTTGTAGGATGCAATCCGATTGTGGCTACCATGATCGCTCATCGCAAGAAGCAGGTATTTCTAATCATTTAGTTAGTAGGGTTACTCATGGAAACAAACAAAAATCAGCCAAGTCAAAGTTCGATGGAGAAGTGCAAATCTACTTGTGTTTAGCGTACAAATACAGTGCAAATATTCCATGCGATAGATACAATGTGCATGGCTCTTGAATGTTAAGTGTGTATGTATCCCTATACAATTCTCGATAATCAGCTTCCCATTGCAAATATCTAAAAAGTTAAGCCGACCTTCACCCATCAGCAGATGTAAGGTATATTGTTTAGGCTGCCATCCTAACTGTGAAAAAATAATAGCAAGATTTGATAGCAAAGTCTCTGGTATGTGTTCACCGATTATAACACATGACCTGGACTTACGTGCTCTTGTTCAAACGGCTCTTCCGCGTCAGCAAATAACTTCGCAGCAAAATGATACCGACCACGATAAGGACGATGAAGTTGAATATCACCACTGCAGTTATCGGACCAATGAATGCCCAGCGCAGATTAGCTGGACCGATGCAACTGAAAGCGAGCATACGCAAGCGGACGGTGCAACAGGAATTGTGGAAATTAAATATAGAGATTATGTCCGTTTATTTTGCGCTTAAGTTGTGCTGAAAGATGTTGCAACCCAATTTCCAAACCCGTAAAATATTGGGGACATCCCAAGCACAAGGTTTGTCATCCATACGAGATCATAATTTCATATTACCGCCGTACTGTGTGACTTATGTTCGCTTTGTGTTTTGGTCAAGTAGATTTTAAAATTTTACCTTCAAACCAGATCACAAAGTTTTTAAGCAGTATCGTTAACATTGTTATACGGATCTGTTACATAGTATATTTTGGACCCCACAAGCCATTATCATAAAAGCAAATACAAACGGAATACCGTTTGATAAAACAGTAGACTGAGGCTAAAGGCTGTTGATCCACAAACTGTAAACATAGCCGATGTAAAAAAACGCGCACAAGAAAATGTAATACAAACCTATCCAATGGTTACTAGGTTCGCCAAAATTTTCGTCTTACCTGGGTTTCATAAGGATTCATGGAAATCATGTGGATAGCTTGTCTACGCTGCGCACGGTACCTGAGCGACATAATGCCCATGAATTTTACTTCATGGTGGCAGTATTCAAGGTAGCTTCTTCACGACTCATCTGTGCAATGGTGCCCTTAACAGCATGAAACAGAGCCGTTAAATACAAAGGCCAATTGTTACATTGAACCAAGGGTATTTCGTGATTATCACTGACCATATTAAGCCACTATGTCTATGCGGAAGCTCATTTCCGCTGAGACCTGAATTTCTTCACCAATTATTACTGAAAGTATTATATACAGATAAATAAACTTTTATTCTCGACAATGTGAGACACTCCTGTATTGTCATGGTGAATGTATACTATGAAATGTTAATCACAGGTGGATCACGAAGACGGAACATCCGATCAGTTAATGAGGTTTGGAAAGATATTGAAGACAGAATAAATGGTTGACTGAATCCGAATCGTGTTGGGTGACCTTTAACTGTTTATTCACATATATAACAGCTAGGTCACAGGAGATAGCACGATGGCGAAACATGTACTAGGTCATATGGAATCTGGACTCTGCTCGTACAATTGGCTTGTTGTTTAAAACAATCAAACAGTTTGATCACGTTCCGTACAGACAAGAATTTGTTGTTGCTTTTTCGAAATTTGTGTTCAAAGTGCGGGCACGTATTTTGGGTGGTAGCTTGTTTCAAACTCAGGTGTATCTGTTAATAAAAACGTCAGTGGAACTGCTGTTTCTGGACTTGCATTCCGTCAATGAGTTCTGTTTGTTCCCTGTGTTGTAAACTGCTGATTGCACTAATGTCATGTTCAGGTTTGAAACATGTATATTTGTGCAATATGTTGAAGACTAGGTTGTTTTTCATGCGCCGTAACTAGAACGGATCAAGCTTGAGCTTTTCATATCTTTCGGAATATTACAGTTTTGAGGAAACACCTAGGAGGCGTATTGTGAACGCTCTCTGCGCTTGTTCCAGTGCAGTGCGGTCGCACTTTTTGAGATACCATACAACATTAAACAATATTCCGACCCCGGTCGAACAACTTATTGTATTGATTCATGTTGGGAAAAAGTCCTAAATACGAAACCCATTTTCTATCCTAATCTTCCGGTGGTATATCATCCTTGTTCACAGAAGTCAAATGAACACAGATATCACAATTCCATGTCTCTTAAGGTAAGGCAGAAATTATGTGGTTCACAAACAAGAGTCAAGCTGGTATGAGACAAATTTCAATTGTGGGACATTGCACAACATTTGGCAGTTAAGAAAGACACTTTCCACTGTGAGCACCAGGTTCTAACCTCATAGAAGTCGCGCTAGGTAACGTAGACAACATCATCAGAGGCATCCGGACGGAAAATGCACATGATTTGTATGTCAGCAGCAAACAAATATAGTGTACCGGATTTTAGTTCGTCTGGCATTAACATATAGTATGAATCATAGCTGCCTAAGAACACTTCCTTGTATCACACCACTGGTGACAGGTGTAGGCTCTGACTTGTGTTATTTAATCTGTACCACCTGTGTTCGATTTGTAAAAATGACCTGAACGAAGAAAGCAGGCGTTTACCGATGCCGCCGGACATCGTTCTGGCTATTAGTTTTCATGAGGCATCTGCTCAAAAGCCTTGTGCATGTCGAGGTAAAACAGTGTTACCGACGTACCAGAATCATGCGAAGCAGTTATCCGGTTTATAAATCCCAGGTAGCACTCAATAGAAGACCGATTATTCAAGAAGCCCTGCTAAGTATTATTAGGTTTCTCGACAGTAGAGATTAGACAATTTAGCTTTGATATGTCTCCCCATAATCGTTGATAAGCTAGGTGTATTGGGCGAAAATATTTTAATAATGCCATAAGAAGACGAACACTGGCAGATGTCAACATTTCGTATTGTTTCTTCAGTGCCAACACAATAACATGAAAATATATAAGACGACAGGTAGGGTGAGACTGGAACAAGTTAGAACAGGGTAGAGGGGCAGGCGTAACACCCCTACGTCCAGGGCAGCCGTAGGCTTACGAACAGCTGTTTCTGCACACAGAGTGCGGGTTTGATACGGCTGATCGCGACTGCCTCTGCAAAACGTAGGAAACGGGCGTTAGCATGTCTTAACACGATTGTAAACATTTTGGCCGGATCAAACTGGTGACACGTGGCCAGTAACTGCTTACCTATGGATGAAGCAGGTGGTTTACGTGAACAGATGGCATGAGCAACCGACGACTTGGTGATTTGACGCTGCAGCCATTTAGGTACATGTTCCCTTATTCTGGAGTTCAACGATCTATTTGTACGGCCTATGTAGTATATACCACAACTACAAGTAAATTGGTAAATACGATGTGAGTTGGCGCCAATAGGTTGTCTTTCCGTCATTGGGGTAACATGTATTCGATTAGTCCGGTTGATAAGAACAGTTTCAACAGCATAATAAGTCCTCTAGACTGCAGAAGTCATGCGCTTCGTTGTCCTCAAATTAGCAAAATCTCCCTTAAATGATATCTCGAGGTAGATTTTCAAGTTGGATACTGTGAAAATCTTCTGTCCCGGCACCCTCGTCTGACTACATTTGTCGAAGAATCTACTTGGATAGCCATTTTTCAACAGCATATCCATGAGCGAATTTATCTCATCAGCTAAACTGTCGGCAGTGCATATTTTCCTTGCACGGTTGAATAGCGTTTTGACTAAGGTCCCTTTGTACCGCATTGGGTAGAAGCTGGTAAAGTGCAGGTACTGCCCTGACCAAGTCGGTTTTCTGTAAACCTATCTTTGGATGGACCCATCTGCTCTTCGGCAAATCAACACGTCCAGAGTTGGGAGGCAGTTGCTTTTCGCTGTTTCGCTGGTTACCTTCAGATTCGTGTGCACGTTATTCAGGCGATCGACCAAAAGCGCAATGTGCTTCTCTGATGAGCTAAACACTAAAATATCATCCACATACCGTTTATAGTAGGAAAGAAGCGATATTTCCACACTCAACTTCTTTTTAATCATCTACACGAAAAAATCTGCTAGCACCGGACCCAACGAACTACCCATTGCCACCCCATCTATCTGGTGATAGGGGATGTTTTGGAATTGGAAACGGAAAATATTTTAGGCTCGAACAGGGAACCAGATTTATGTCGCGGCACAACTACGGCTACCTACTAATGAGCTGGTACGGTGCTGGTGCTCATGGGTAGATTGAACATCCTCAGCAATAGTAGGGGTATGTCAGCACTGCCCAATCTCACAACCACGGAGGGAATACTGTCTAGACACCAGAGGTGAAATAATGTTGTGCACCTGATAAGTTGGTGTAAGTCCTGGAGCTCAAGTCCGATACAGTTGTGCTTGTCGACTGTAATTGCTAGATTATGCACATGGGTTCAGTATCCACTTTGAAAGAGGCACAGAAATATTGCTTAAACATTATGCTAGTTTGAACACGGTCGGGTATGTTGGAGTAATATAAAGTTACGAGTGAGATTGTGCCTTGGGTACGTTTAGTAATCATGTGATTTAAAATACTGAGCAGTTTACAGTTTTTGCATCGACTGGCAGGGGCCGTTTTTCATCAGTGATGTGCTTTTTGTGATAAGTCAGCTTCATTGATGGGGCCAAATTATGGTGGTGCTTCATGAATGACAAGTTATTCGTTTTGCGATGCGCTGTAAGTAGCCTTATGAGATTAACAGCTATTCTTCGTGAAACAGTCTTTTCGCGACCTGAGCGAAATTGCCTGTTTGATAGGATCTAGTGTGTCGAGACTGAGATTAATGTTGTTATGTGAAGCACCAGCTGCGGGTTATGGGTCGTCGGTGAGGAGAAAAATGTCCCACAGACGCGTTCCAATTAGGTGATTCACAGTGCCTTGAGAGCATTTGTGATTGGGTGTAGTCGTTATTGGGAGTCGGACCTTATTTGTGGATGAAAAGTAGACCAATCTATAAGTCAATATCTCAAAGTGTTCCAGAACACCAGCTGAATCTGGTATTAAATAAATGGTAAATACCAGATTCAATATGTTATTCTGGCTGGAGTTTTTACATGTATCCGTTCGTATGTATATAAAGATGAAATCAGATTGCCATAATTCGTGGGCCCATAGGTCCACGAATGTCTGCATGTTGAAATCTGCAAACTTTGGGACAGATACATCAGCTCGGGTTGTGATGAAGATTTCACGGCGTACAAGAAACAGCGTAGTTTAGGTAAGGCCGAAAAGAGCAAGAAACGCCGGCAATTCGAAGAGGAGGTAGCATCCTCGGCCACAATTGCACCCAAAAGAGTATTTGCCTACTTAAAACGTCAACTGAAACTTGGGGGCGACATACCGGTCTTAGAGAGTTAGACGGAAAGACACTCATTTCAAGCGCGGAGCGCGCGGACGCCTTGGCTACGCAATTCCTCACCGTATTTTTCAGTAAACCGGCTGTTGTTCCAGTGCCGACACAGCCTGC